TTTTTTGTATTTTTAGTAGAGACGGGGTTTCACCGTGTTGACCTGGATGGTCTCGATCTCTTGACCTCGTGATCCACCCTCCTCGGCCTCCCAAAATGCTGAGATTACAGGCTTGAGCCACCGCGCCCGGCGAGGAGGGGAGCTTTTTAAATGAGAAGGGCTACAGTTCTGATTCCAATTCTTAGGTGAAGATTTTGGATTTTTATTTGTTTTGTTTTGAGACGGAGTTTCACTCTTGTTGTTCAGACTGGAATGCAGTGGCGTGATCTCAGCTCACAGGAACTTCCATCTCCCAGATTTAGGTGATTCTTCTGCCTCAGCCTCCCAAGTAGCTGGGATTACAGGTACCCACCACCATGCCCAGCCAAATTTTGTTTTTTTTTAGAGACGGGGTTTCACCATGTTGGCCAGGCTGGTCTCGAACTCCTGACCTCAAGTGATCCACTCACCACAGCCTCCTAAAGTGCTGAGATTATAGACATGGGCCACTATACCTGGCTGAGATTTTGAGTTTTTAAACCAACTTAAGGAACCAGTTAGATGAAGCTAGAATGCTTAGTTTTTATAGTCACAGGTATCAATCCATTAAGAACTACAATGTCATTTTTTGGGGGGGGGGTGGGAGGAGACGAAGTCTCACTCCATTGCCCAGACTAGAGTGTTGTGGTGCAATCTGAGCTTACTGCCACCTCCACCTCCTGGGTTCAAGCAATTCTCCTGCCTCAGCCTCCAGAAAAGCTGGGTCTATAGGAGGATGCCGCCATGCCTGGCTAATTTTTTTTTTTTTTTTGTATTTTAGTACAGGGTTTCACTATGTTGCCCAGGCTGGTCTCAGACTCCTGAGTTCAGGCAATCTGCCCGCCTCGGCCTCCCAAAGTGCTAGTATTATAGGCGTGAGCCACCGTGCCTGCTCTACAATGTAATTTTTATAAGCATCTTTGTACTTCAGTAGATTTGTTGGTTAAGGTATAATTTTAGGCCAGGCACAGTGGCTCACTCCTAATTGGAGAGGCCGAGGCAGGCGAATAACACGGTCAGGAGATTGAGACCAGCCTAGCCAACATAGTGAAACCCCATCTCTACTAAAAAAGAACTACAAAAAATTAGCCAGGCATGGAGGCACATGCTGGTAATCCCAGCTACCCAGGAAGGTGAGGGACAAGAATTGCTTGAACCCAGGAGGGGGAGATTGCAGTAAGCCAAGATTGCATCATTTCTCTCTAGTCTGGGCAGTAAGAGTGAAATTCTGTCTCAAAAAAAAAAAAAGATATAATTTTATAGTTATTTTACTATTAGATTTTGTCTGTTAAGGCAAGTGGTATTCTGGTTGATAATGTAGATTAGTTCCTTTAATGTTCCCATACAGACTACACAAATTTTAGAATTTGTGTAGTCTGTATGGGAACATAGTGCACATACAGAAATGAGGACATTTATAAGACAGTTGGAAATTTGGACACTGTCTATGTCATATTAAGAAATTATTTCATGAGATAAGATGAGGAATAATTAATTAGTTTAACAAGAAAAGAGTCCTTGATTTTAGAGAAACCTACCAGTATATTTACAGAAGAAAAGATATACTGCCTGTGATTTACTTCAAAATAATATGAAAAGAGGGAAATTTGACAATGATATAGATGAAACAAAACTAGCTGTGAATTAATAATTGTTGAAGCAAGGTGATGGATTTCATTAAGCTAGTGTTCACTCTTCTGTATACTAATATTTCTAAATTTCCAAAAGAAGAGGTGAGTCTGTAAGTAAATATCGAGCACAACTAATAAAATTCAAGGGACTATTTTTTTCCTCTTAATGTAATTCTTAATATATTGATATGCTCAAAATGTATGTACAATGGCCAGGTGCAGTGGCTCACACCTGTAATCCCAGCACTTTGGGAGGCCAAGGCAGGCGGATCACAAGGTCAGGAGTTTGAGACCAGCCTGGCCTATATGGTAAAAGCCCATCTCTACTAAAAATACAAAAATTAGCCAGCCGTGGTGGTAGGCCCCTGTAATCCTAGCTACTTGGGAGGCTAAAGCAGGAGAATCCCTTGAACCCAGGAGTTGGAAATTGCAGTGAGCTGAGATTATGCCACTGCATTCCAGCCTGGGCAACAGAGTGAGATTCTGAAAAAAAAAAAAAAAAAAAAAAATGTATGTACAACAGTTATTAGAGATACTAGTTAACAGATGGCATGTTGAATAAATCAGCTTTTTCTGTATTGAATTAGAAAACATATAATTTGATAACTTAATAGGTGTAGGTGTAACTTTGTGTTCCCTTCCCCCAATTCTAATTGATTTAAAGTTTGAAAAAGCAGACTGGGTGTGGTGGCTGCTGTCTGTAATCCCAGCACTTTGGGAGGCTGAAGCAGATGGATCACTTGAGGTCAGGAGTATGAGACTAGCCGCCTGGCCAATATGGCAAAACCCCGTCTTTACTAAAAAAACACAAAAATTAGCTAGCCGTGGTGGTGCATGCCTGTAGTCCCAGCTACTCAGGAGACTGAGGCAGGAGAATCCCTTGATCTGGGAGGTCGAGATTGCAGTAAGCCAATGTCACTCCACTGCACTCCCGCCAAAAAAAAAGTCTTAAAAAGCATAAGACTCATTTATGTTGTAAAGTTTGATTAAATTTAACTTTGGTATTGTCCAGAGAGTTACTATAATAGTAAAGTAGGTTTTTATTAAATACAGATGTTACCTGTTTTATTTAAAGAAATTTTGAACATCAAAGTTTGATTAAATTTAACTTTGGTATTGTCCAGAGAGTTACTATAATAGTAAAGTAGGTTTTTATTAAATACGGATGTTACCTGTTTTATTTAAAGAAATTTTGAACATCTTATACCTGATGCTCCTGAACTGATACATGATTTTCTGGTGAACGAGAAGGATGCAAGTTGCAAAAGGAATGCATTTATGATGCTAATTCATGCAGACCAGGTGAAGTACTTTTTAAAAAATACTTTTATAACTGTATTTAAGTGAGAAAAGTATTACATAGGCTTAATCATGATTTTAGTCAGTAATTTTGTTTATAGTTCATGTGGTTTGTATAGTTTGATATTTTTAGATTTTTGGACTTATATAAAAATACATTTTTTTCTTAACCTTTCTCTAAAAGAATGCATGTGTATGCATTCTTTTTTTCAATTAAACATTGAAGAGGCATTTTAGAACAACCACCTTACAGTTTTTAAAAATTAAAATTATTATGACCGTGTGCTGTGGTCCTCTATCTTGGGGCTTTGGTTACCTGTTCTTTCTTATGTTGGTATAGATCTAAAATTGTTTAGTAGAGAAAAACAGTAGCTTTGCATAGGTACACCCTTAGCCTTGCCTGTGGAAATAGGGTGGCCTTCGGTATAAATGTGTATCCTGTTAGACTCTTCAATTTTCATGTGTGGGTGCCAACTCTACATCCTGGTCTCCTGGTGGTTAAAGTATATGGATCTACTTTTGGTTAGCAGTTACTCTGTATATCTTGATGCCATCTAACCTTGAAATTTTTTAGCCAATATTTATCACCAAAATATGGGCAGTGATATGCATGAAAACTGAAAAATATGGAGTCCTTCCATTCCTCTGAAATCTAGATACTGTCGCTTTTTTCCACCCAGATCTTCCTTTAATGGATTCCCCCCCAGTTATTTAAAATTTTGGTAACATACACATAACAAAAAAATTTACCATCTTAACCATTTTTAAGTGTTCAGTGATTTTAAGTACATTTGTAATATTGTAGAACTATCACTACATTCCATCCCCTAATTTTTTTGTCTTCCAACACTGAAACTCTGTACCCATTAAAAAATAACTCCCAATAGCCAGGCGTGGTGGCTCACGCCTGCAATCCTAGTACTTTGGGAGGCCGAGGCAGGCGGATCGCCTGAGGTCAGAAGCTCGACCAGCCTGCCCAACATGGTGAAACCCCATCTCTACTAAAAATACAAAAATTAGCCAAGCCTGGTGACAGGCGCCTGTAATTCCAGTTACTCGGGAAGCTAAGGCAGGAGAAATCACTTGAACCCAGGAGGCGGAGGTTGCAGTGAGCTGAGATTGTGCCATTGTTCTCCAGCCTGAGTGACAAGAGTTAGATTTGGTCTCAAAAAAAAAAAAAAAAAAAACTCCCCATTACCACTTCCTCTCAGTCCCTGGCAACCACCATTTTACTTTCTATCTCTGTGATTTTGACTACACTAAGTATTCCATATAAGTGGAATAATACAGTATTTGTCCTTTTGTGACTGGCTCGTTTTACTTAGCATAATGTCTTCAAGGTTCATTTATGTTGTGGCCTGTGTTGTAATTTCTTTCCTTTTTAAGGCTAAGTAATACCCCATTGTAAATATATGCCTCATTGTGTTTACTTGTTCATCGACTGGTGGACACTTGGGTTGCTTCAACCTTTTAGCTATTGTGAATAATGCTGCTGTGAACATAGATGTACACATATATGTTTGAGACTTTGTTTTCTGTTCCTGTGGGTATATACCCAGAAGTGGAATTACTGGATATACAGTGATTCTATTTTTAATTTTTTTAGGAACTGCCATACTGTTTTCCATAGCAGCTGTATCATTTCACATTCCCATTGGTAGTGCACAAGGGTTCCAACTTCTCCACATCCTTTCCAGCACTTGTTATTTTGTGTGTGTTTTTTAATAGTAGCCATGTTAATGAGCACTTGAAGTGGTGTTCGATAATGTCATTTTGTCTTCCTAAACAAGATTGTGAAAGCTGCTTATATGAGCCACAGTGTTTTGTCCTCTTGTGTAATTGATTTTACTAACCAGTGCTTTTGGCATTATGCTGTTAACCTCCATTGAGGGACATAAATAGAAATAGTCCAATAAGATTTATTGATACTTTTACTGGAGAGATGTTTTCAACATCGTAGTTCTCTATATCACAGTGTCCGATATGTGATAACACATAGGAGATTTTTCTTTTAGGTCTCAGTAATAGGAATAACTATACACCTAAGCAACTGATTTTGATTGTATGGATACCCTGAATCCCATAACACGTAGTGTTTTCCCTCTTTGGTTTAGCTGCTGGAAAATCAGACCCCAGGCTTGTGCCTCATTTCCAGAAAATACATTTAACGTTATATCTTTTATATGTTAACTTTATTCTTGGTTTCTTCTTTATTTCTATATTAGTTTCTCTTTGCCCTAATCTCTTCATTTGTTTTATATTGAGTTATAATGTGTATATATTTTTAAGATGCATTAAGTCCTTCTATTGAATGAGGTGGAGTATGATAAATATATTCTTATTTTTTTAGGATCGAGCTTTGGATTACTTAAGTACTTGTATTGATCAAGTTCAAACATTTGGAGATATTCTGCAGTTGGTTATTGTTGAACTGATTTATAAGGTAAGAATGACAATCTATGATGAGTAAAATAAACTCAGCAGTTTAAGACAGTTTAAGGGTTAGTTTCTTTCTGGGATGATAATTGCTAGGATAATATATTTCAGTAGTATAAACATTTTATAGCATAGCCTATTAAAGTTTTTTTTTTTCTTTTACTTTTGGTTTATTGTATTTTCCAAGTAGAATACTTGCTTGTATCCTTTCTAAACCTCCATAAAGATTTCAATAAAAATCCATGGCTTGAGCCAGTACAGCTACAAATAAATCATTGTGAACTTCCCAGTCACTGAATAGATTATGAATTAGGCTTTAGAATAAAATTCAAGATTTTCTTGAGCATATATGAGACTACTCAAATCAAGCAAAAAAAGGCCTTAAATACTTGTTATGTTCCCTGTTTGAAAAAGAGAGTGGAAAAACTCTACTAAATACATTAATATGACATTGTAAGGCATTGACAGGAAATCTAAAACCGGTTAAGAGTTTTGGATTTTTAAATGAAGTACTATATTGGCAATACTTTAGTATGATACATTCTTTGAAAGAGCTGATTACAATGTAAATGTTCTGATAAAAGGTACAGTAAGATTCAACTTTGCTATTGATCCATTGGAGGCCAACAAAATGTAGGTCCAGAATGGCTTTATTAAATACTGTGGTCAAAACACCTATGGTAGACACACTGATTATAGCTGTCTTTGCTTCTGTAAGAAAGGGGTTCCTCTTAAGATGCCAGGATTTGGGAAATTTAAGATGAAACCAAGACTATAAATATATAGTTCTTTTTTTTTTTTTTTTTTTGTGGAGTCTCACTCTGTTGCCCAGGCTGGAGTGCAGTGGCGTGATCTCAGCTCACTGCAGCCTCTACCTCCTGGGCTCAAGTGATTCTCCTGCCTCAGCCTCCTGAGTGGCTGGGATTACAAGTGTACACTACCACGTCCGGCTAATTTTTGTATTTTTAGTAGAGATGAGGTTTCACCACATTGGCCAGGCTACTCTCAAACTCCTGACCTCGTGATCTACCTACCTTATCCTCCCAAAGTGCTGGGATTACAGGCATGAGCCACCACATCCAGCCTATAGTTCTTTCTAATTCATGTGTGTAGTTTAGGATGCCACTGAGGTTCTCAAAATTAGCAGTTCTCTGCTATCTAATGACTTGTTTAGTAGGGTCTATGTTATAGTAAATGGGGATAGCTTTTAAGTCATGTTCATGTAATAGAGATTTGACTATCTATATTTTAGGAAAATCTAATACGAATACTGACTTCAAAATAGAAATAAGGGACATTTGCTTCACAAGTAAAGGTATCAGGATGCATTTAGAATGGGATAGAAATTTGTAGTTTTCTCTCCAGTATTGAATATCATCTCAAATAAGAAGTAGTAGTACTTGGAGAAACTATGTTACCTTTTTTGCTTGAAAAACTGGTATTTTGCTTTTATTAGCTATTGAGATTTATATCATCATCATGTTTTTCTTTGGCATCCAGAATAAAAATTTACAACCAAATTTAATATCCTGTGACAGTACCCATATTAGTGTACTGTGTTAATGTGTCCTTGCTTTTGTTACTTTATATTTTCTTTTTCTCTTTCACTGTGTATAGCATACACATATTTTAAGCCATCAGAAAACCTTTTGTGAAACATTAAAAATGTAAATTATGATAAGATGAATAAATGAGTGAGTAGCTGTAAAAATTATTTTGTTCACACTATCCTATCTAGTAAAACCATTTCTTATCTATGTTTTTGTTGGCGTCTAACTTCTTTCTGAAATTACCAATGCTATCTCATCCTATGTTGGCTGACATTTTCATCTGTCCTCATAAGACAACTGTTCTTAGCTTTGAGATTGAGAAAACTAGCGTCCCATAAGCCGACATCCATAAAAAAATTCCATTTGAAAACCAGCATTCCTGAAATAAGTGGAGGTCTTAATGTTTTCTTCTCTAGGTCTGTCATGCTAACCCATCAGAAAGAGCTCGTTTTATTCGCTGCATCTATAACTTATTACAGTCATCCAGCCCTGCTGTAAAATATGAAGCTGCTGGGACATTAGTGACACTCTCTAGTGCACCAACTGCAATCAAGGTACTGTGATTCCTTTTGGGGCCAGATAAGATGATAGATTTCTGTCTTAGCACCTGTGATTTAGTGACATTGCAATTCACTGTGTGGTTATATGGCACAGAGAAAACAACTACAAATTCTATAAAACGATTTGATGCCTTATATTGTCCAATCTTCCCTTCTTCCTTCCTGCTTTCATACACATATATAGATGCAGATAGAGAATGAGAGTACAGTTAACCCTTGACAACACAGTTTCAAACTGTACAGGTCTACTTACACATGGCCTTTTTTTCCACCCCTGCTATTCCTGTGACAGCAAGACCAATCCCTCCTCTTCCTCTTCTTCCCCCTCCTCCTCAGCCTACTGTGTAAAGAGGTTGGGGATGAAGACCTTTATGATGATCTATTTCGTTTTAATGCAGTAAATAATTTCCTTATGATTTAACATTTTCTTTTTTCTAGCTTACTTTATTGTAAGAATACATTATATAATACATTTAACATACAAAATATATTTTAATCGACTGTGTTATTGGTAAGGCTTCTGGCCAACAGCAGGTTATTAGTAGTTAAGTTTTTAGGGAGTCAAAATTGCATTTGTGGCGAGGCGCAGAGGCTGACACCTAAAATCCCAGCACTTTGGAAGGCCAAGCTGGGAGGATTGCTTAAATCCAGGAGTTTGAGACCAGCCCAGGTGACAAAGAGAAACACTGTCTGTAGAGAACATTTTTTAAAAAATTAGCTGGTGCTAGGTGTGGTGGTGCATGCCTGTAGTCCCAGTACTTTGGGAAGCCAAGGTGGGATGATCGTTTGAGGCCAGGAGTTTCAGGTTGCAGTGAGCTATGGTGGTGCCACTGCACTCCAGCCTAGGTGACAGAGCAAGATGAAAAACAATATAAATTAGCTGGGTATGATGGCGTTTGCCTATAGTCCCAGCTATTCTGAAGGCTGAGGCAGGAGGATAGCTTGAGCCCAGGAGGTTAAGACTGCAGTAAACTATGATTACTCCAGCCTAGGTGAAAGAGCGAGACCCTGTCTCTAAAAAGTAAAAACTGAAAGGTAAATGTTACATGTATATTTTAAGTTCTAGTGAGTGTTTTCAATAATAGAATATTACCTTTCTCTAATTTAGTCTATCAAGACTGTATCAGCAACCCCTAGTCTATTCAGGGAATGAGCTGTTCTAAAAACCAAATTTTTTAAATTGGAGAAGTTACTGCTTTACCCTCCAAAACTTGAAATTCTTTTTAATTTTGAAATAATTTTAAACTTACAGAAAAATTGAAAACATAGGACAGAGTTCTTTATTCTTCACCCAGCCTTTCTCATATATTCACATCTTCTATAATCATTGTATAATTGTCAAAACTACAAAATTAACATTAGAGCAATACTGTTAACCAAACTACAGGCATTATTCATATTTCATCAGTTTTCCCACTGATGTCCTTTTTTTGTTCCAGGATCTAATCTAGGATCCCATTTAGTGGTCATATCATAGTCTCCTCCGATCTATGATAGTTCTTAGTCATTTGTTATTTTTCATGACCTTGACGCATTTGAAAAATACTGGCTGGTTAGTTTGTAAAAATATCCCTCATCTTGGGTTTGTCTGATGTTTTCTCAGATTGAGATTGTATATTTTTGGAAAGAATATCACAGAAGTAATGGGTCCTTTTCAAGGAGTACATTATATCTATATATATTTATTTTTTATTTTTTTGAGCCAGAGTCTCACTCTGTCACTCAGGCTAGAGTGCAGTGGCATGATCTTGGCTCACTGCAACCTCCGCCTCCCGGGTTCAAGCGATTCTCCTGCCTCAGCCTCCCAAGAAGCTGGGACTACAGGCATGTGCCACCATGCCCAGCTAATTTTTTATGTTTTTAGTAGAGGTGGGGTTTCACTGTGTTATCCAGGATAGTCTCAATCTCCTGACCTCGTGATCCACCCACCTTGGCATCCCAAAGTGCTGGGATTCCAGGCATGAGCCACCGTGCCTGACCTGTGATATCTGTGTATCTTATTACTGGTGATGTGCTATCTGCCAGATCTTCCAGTTTTATGATTTCTTCTATTGTAATTGGTAAACATTGTGTGGGGAGATACTTTGAAACTATGCAAATGTACTGTTGTTCCTCAAATTCACTCCTATTTATTTTAGCATCCATCAGTGGATTTTCTTAGAACAATTATTACTGTGGTATTCTAATGGTGGTTTTCTATTTCTCTCATTGAATACTTACTAACTGGAATTCTTAGGCAAGGAAGGGCTGTTCTTTCTCTTTTCTGCCTCCCTTCCTTTTCTTCCTTCTTTCTTCCTATCAGGATGGATATTTTATCATTCTAAAATACTTTATACCTTTTTAGTCTTATTAATAATTATTATAAATACTAAAATATTGTAATAACTCTGGGTGATCTTTATATTCTAGTTATTTCTGTCCAGCAATGCAGATGAGTTAGACTTTGCCTCTAAACTAAAATATGCTTAATAGATGTACTTCTTGGTATTCTTTTCCTGCTTTTCTCTGGCTTGTTCCTTAGTTTCAACCCTTAATTTTTGGCTGTTAGTATTTCTACCTGTAGCAGCCCTTTTTCATCCTTTTAATTTGTAATGCTTCTAATCTTCTGTAAGTTAGAAAAATAACAAGGGACTACAGGAACTCATTCCTCAGAACAAAATGCATAAACCCTAGTACGGGGATTAATGAGTGTATTTGGCTTCATGGGACAGTGTGTGTGTGTGTGTGTGCGCGCGCGCGCACGCGCACGCGTGCACACATGTTCGTCTGCGTACTTATTTTCAGATTTTATGCTTATGATAGATGAATAACTTCTTAAAATGTATTTCTTTTATTATATAGGCCGCTGCTCAGTGTTACATTGATTTAATTATTAAGGAGAGTGACAACAATGTAAAACTCATAGTTCTGGATCGCTTGATAGAGTTAAAAGAGCATCCTGCTCATGAACGCGTACTACAGGTAAGAGTTATCTGAAACAGAGAGATATTAAATAAAATATTTTTCAAATTTAGGTCATTCTCAAGCTTTGCCCATCTTGGTTAACCTAAATGCTTGAAAACTGAGCAGTTTACAGTTTGATCAGCTAAAGTGTAACTATTGAGTCATCACTACTTTTTGGGGTATTACCTTTACCATAAAAAATATTCTAAAATGGTTCGGCACAGTGGCTCATGCCTGTAATCCCAGCACTTTGGGAGGCTGAGGCCGGTGGATCAGGAGTTCGAGACCAGCCTGACTAAAATAGTGTAACCCAGTCTATATTAAAAATACAAAAATCAGCTGGGTGTGGTGGGGTGCACCTGGAATCCCAGCTACGTGGGAGGCTGAGGCAGGAGAATCACTTGAACCCAGGGGCAGAGGTCACAATGAACCAAGACTGCGCCACTATATTCCAGCCTGGGCAATAGAGTGAGACTCTGTCTAAAAAAAAAAAAAAATTCTAAAATGAATTGTTATTATCTTTTTTATCTTTTCAGTTTGTACTGTATTGACTA